TTTTTTTTTAATGAGACAGAGTCTGCAGCGTTCCATAGAGTTCTGCAGCGTCATAGTTCACAGCAACCTCAAACTCTTGGGCTCAAGTGATTTACTTGTCTCAGCCTCCCAAATAGCTGGGAATACAGGCACCTGCCACAGCACCCAGCTGTTTTCAGAGACAGAGTCTTGCTCCTGCTCAGGCTGGTCTTGAACCTGTGATCTCAGGCAATCCACCCGCCTTGGCCTCCCACATTGCTAGGATGACAGGCGTGAGCCACCCCGCCCGGCTTTGGATCTGAATTTTAAAATTTGGAGATGGATAGCTGACATCCAGCAGAAATAGAAATATTTAAGGACCTGATTATGACTGTGAGACTCTTGGGAATTACAGTAGCTTTTTGGCCTTGGTGACAAACTTGGTGACATCTACTAGATGCACAGCTCTGTATTTTCTTCATCAAAAGTAGCTTTTGCTTATTTACATTTGGTTTACTATTGCAAAGTGTTTAGGCTCTCCCTCTAGAAGGAAAAATCTAAGTACAGATGTGTCGCTGGAATACCGCACTCCCAAGTCCTTAATTCAGTATTTAAGCCTTTGGCATTTATGCATTTACTTACAGAATGTGCATATTTATAAACAATAAAAATTTGAATAATTCTTTCCTTTTGTTTTGCAGAACCCCAGCTAAAAGGAATCGTGACAAGGTTATTTAGCCAGCAGGGATATTTCCTGCAGATGCACCCAGATGGTACCATTGATGGGACCAAGGACGAAAACAGTGACTATAGTAAGAAACATTAATTTCTTGTAATCTGATTACAAATCAAATGTTTGGCTTAGTGTGTCTTATAGTTGAAGCATGGCCAGACTGTCTTTTGACCTTTGAACTCTTAGTAAATTAGTGTCTTTTCTTTTATCCTTCTTTCTATGATTCCCTACAGCAAAGATGCAGTATTTGCTGAATACTGCGAGAAAGGTCATGTACTAAAAGAGAGGGTAGGTAAGAGGTTTGAAGGAGTTCACCAATTGATCAGTAGACGAGGATCTCCTCCCAGGATGATGATAAGCACTCATGGGAATGATGTAGATCTTTCAGCACAAAATGGGATTTAAATCTTGGAATCAAATAATGAATAGGTTATAACGTTCTCAGACCATAATTCCTGCCAGACAAAAAATTACTTCTAAAGGTCAACATTGCATACATACACATCTATATTATATGTTGTTTTGTTTTTAATTAAGGATGAAATTACTGATTTTGAAAGAAAAATATTTTGAATGATGATTATGTTTTATAGTACTTATAGTAATAACATAAATGAAGGCTGATAGAGCTGAAACAAAATTTTAAAAATAATTTTTTTGAGGCAGGGACCATAGCTCAGTGGATAGGGCACTGGCCACATACACCGGGGCTTGTGGGTTTGAACCTGGCCCGGGCCAGCTAAACCAACAATGACAACTGCAACAACAACAAAAATAACCGGGCGTTGTGGTGGGTACCTATAGTCCCAGCTACTTGGGAGGCTGAGGCAAGGGAATCTCTTAAACCCAAGAGTTTGAGGTTGCTGTGAGCCGTGACACCCAGGGTGATAGCTTGAGACTGTGTCTCTCACACACACGCACACACACAAAATAATAATAATATTTCTGAAATAAAAGTGCCAAGTATTAAAAGATTAATAACAATGTTCCTAGTTTTGATACAATTTGATTTTGAGGTGATGAGTTCAGTAACTAAATACAATCATCAAGGTATGAGAGAGTGCATTTGCATTGTAGAAAACATTTCACATACAAGCTTCAGAGGCAAAAAGCTATCTCAGTATCTTTCAACTTCTACGTATCTTTGCCTCAGGGCAAATTCGCGTTATTCTAAAACCAAGTAGAATGCATATTGTTCCCTAAGGTTGTCCGAATTCACTGCTAGACCTTTAGTGTTGGATACACAGTACAAGCTTATTAAATATGTGTTCTGATGGATGTGATTTTGTCATCAGACTGACATTATACCAAAATGTATTATGTCGTCTAAGAAGACTGGTACCTTATTAATCTTTTAAATTGATAAGAAGGATTCGAAGAAAAATCCAAAATCCCTAATATGTGAAAGTGATCTTATTCACCCCTTCTAAATTATTCTTTCTTACTTAATACTACACATTAGAAAATAAGATTTGCAAAAAAAAAGATCTGATTATGAAGAATTTCATCCCTGTTTTCTTGGTCTCAGTTTTTGACAAAGGAGCTGATTGGTTTATTGTAGTTTTCATTGTTGGTTTGTGTTTGCTTAAAAGCGTTCTTTCCATGATTCAAGTTTTCAGCTCAGTACAAAACAATGTAGGATTTTTATTATTGCATCTGTACTTGAATGTAGATATAGGTGAGGCTGAGTACAGATGAAAAGAACCAGAGAATCGCTTAGTTGTGTCACTCACGTCTGCTAACTCTGAGGTATTTCTACATCACAGTTTCTTTGTCTATGAAATGAGGTGCCTGGACGTGATGATGGTATCAGCATTTCTCTGTCAGCACCATTCATCCGATGTCAAAGAAAGATTGAAAAGTTATAAATTGATAAAGATAGATTCAATCCTCAAGTAGCCAAATAGCCACACACAGTTCTACAAAATGATACTTTAACCCAGCCATGTTCTGAAAATGCATGACATTTATCATGGGGCGAGGGTAGAAGGGCGAGAGTGCAAGTGTGGGGTCAAATTAACACAGATCCTTGAAATAATGAAAATTGTTTGCTCTGCTAATGTTGGTCAACTCCTAGTGTAAATCTATACCCACATATCTGTAAATACATTTATACACATGTACTTATGTATGTTAATGTATATGTCAGAATAATGGCATTGGACATACTACATTCACACACACACACGCACATGCACATGCACATGCACACACGCATACCCAAGAGTGATGTAGTCTGTCAAATATGTCCTTTTAGAAACTGTGTGAACTTGGCTCGGCACCTGTAGCTCAAGTGGCTAAGGTGCCAGCCACATACACCAGAGCTGGCAGGTTTGAATCCAGCCTGGGCCTGCCAAACAACAATGACAACTATAACCAAAAAATAGCCCCAGGTGTTGTGGTGGGTGCCTGTAGTCCCAGCTACTTGGGAGGCTGAGGCAAGAGAATTGCTTAAGCCCAGGAGTCGGAGATTATTGTGAGCTGTGCATCACAGCGCTTGACGACTCAGAGTGATAGCTTGAGGTTCTGTCCCCGCCCCCCCGCAAAAAAAAAAAAAACACAACTATCTGAACTCATAAATTTAAACTACCTAGTTTTTTTTATTAAGATAAGCTACTTACTCACTTTTTAATTAATTGTTCATGAAATGGTTTAGATGTATGAAATATAAAGAGTAATATGAATTCATCTGGATCCCACATCAGTTTAACAGTTAAGACTATCAGCACATTTGAGCTCTTTGTGTGATCTCCCTGATGGAATCCTGCTTTCTTTCATTACCAGACATAAAACTGTCCTGAGTTTGGCGTTTCCTGTTTCCATGTAACTAAAAATTGTTTTCTATATTTATGCATTCATAAATTTTGCATATTTTTAAACATTTAGTAAGCGAGAACACCATCAGATAGATTTTTTATATACTTTAACCCCCAGTAGTATTGTTGTGAGGTCTGTATATGGTAATATACTTGCTTTATTTCACTCACTTTTTTTAAAATATTCCAAAATATCCATTCTCCTTTTGGTGAATAATTATTAATTCTATTTTAAGATGTAAAAGTGTACAGGTACTTCTGTTCTGATACTGCACTTAATTTTTATTTAGAGCTCCCATGACCATCTGACATAAGTATTGTTGCTGTTTATTTTTGCTATTCTTCCCCAGGAGAATGTAAATTTCACATGTTAAGAGATTTTGTTTTGATCTTTAGAACCTAGAGTGGTCTCTAATACATACTAACCACTCACTACAAATCGAATGAACAAATGTGTGAAAGTCCCCTTGTGGATATGTGCAGAAGTTTTTCTCAGTCATTGGTGAAAATACTTCTACCTGCCTACATTTTTTTTTTAACTTTCTCTTTTGAAATCACTTTAGACTCCAGAAAAACTACAAGCTAATATGGCAAGCTCCTTTATACTCTTCACCCAGCTTCCTCTAATGATATCATTTTACATAATAATAGTATGATTATCAAACCCAGAAAATTAACACTGGTACAATCCTATTTACTGAGCTATAGTCTTTACTCAGATTTGATCCATTTTGCAACTAATGTACTTTCCTCTGACCCTCCTCTCCCATATTTTAATAAAAACATTCAAGGGAAACTAAATTATTTTATATATACTTTTTCACAAAGTAGAGGTTGGGGGAAAATCTCAGATAGGTAATTTAGAGTCTACTCATTTCTTATGGAAAAGGCTTTAAGTTGTTAAAATGCTTTTCTTTCTTTACTTTGTGTGGGTTGGAGTAAAAGCAGTTAATTGTTTGAAAAAAAAATCTTGTTACTATGAGCATCTGTCAGAAGCATGTTGCTTGGTTCACTAGACATCATTAGGTCCAACCAACCTTACCATAGTATCTTGCATAGAATTGATAAAGACACCTGTTCTTTTGTTCATGAACAAAGACTAATTACATGTAATTGAGTATAAACGCAAATGGTTTTGTTGGCAGTCACAGATAAGGATCTCTGCAAATGTAATACCAAAAAATGCAAAACTCTGCTGGAACACTGGAACAAAAATGACAATAGCAGTTGGGAGGGAGGGTATTAATAGGAATATTTTACATAAAATTGAAAGGCTCATTATTTTGTTCCACTAGTTACGACAGAGGAAGATACGTTTGAAGAGGTCAAAAACGCTGGAGGGAAAACAATGAAGACATTATAACCAAATGCATTGTTCTCTTTTTCTTCTGAACAAAAAATATTAAGAGCTATTTGACTATGGAATGAGCTGCCTGACAAGTTAGTACCATAGCCATAGTGGGGATACTCAGGCGGATGCCGCAGTAGAGCTTGAAGTGAGGGCAGGGGGTGGCAAGAAAACCCTCTTGGCGTAGGAGTGGGAAGCATGGTGTGGGGGTGTTAGTTCTAGGATGCAGTGACCTTTAAGGTCCCCTTTAGTCCTTAAGTTCTCCTAAAAATGATTTCAAATAGATACGTTCATGGTACAAAATTATAAAAAGGGTATATGATTTATAAAGAGCAAAACGGTCTCTGACAGCGCAGGAACTGGCTTGGTGCTCCCAGTAAACCCTGAAGTCTTTCTGTTGAATATAGACATTTTGACAGAAAAGGCCATCAGCCAAGACCACTATGCTATGAGGAGTTGGGTCAAATAAGACCACTTTGTAATCATATCTGAAAACAGACACACACAATAAATCCATGATCTAAACTACACATTGACCGAATATGTCTCTGCCCTGTGTTAGGTAAGTAGCCACCGTTTCTTTACCAAACACAGCTTTAACCTTCCTCTGTTCTTCCCACCTCGTAGATGAGAATTATATCCACTTCCTTAGAACATTCAACTTGGGAGAAATGCAGATATCTTTGAGTCCTCTCTAAAATCTCTTAACACACTCAAATGTCCTAAGTCTTTCCCTACATCCTCTTATGAAGACACCCTGGTTCTGTGATGATGGTATTTTTCTTCCCTGCTACAAGTCATTAAATCCAACTTTGTTCAACAACGGGTGTGGTTCTGATATTCTGTGGCTGGAAACATCATTAACACGGTCAAAAGCAATTTTCTTTCCCTCTCCTCAACCTTGCCAGCGGGCCA